AGTTCTATGGTCCTAATTTTTTATTATGCCTAATTCAATAGAGAATATCAAAACTAATTTAAACGTAATGAATTAAAAAAAAAAAAAAGAAGAAAATGAGGCACAGCAACAAACCTAAGAAGAGTTGGCAAACAGGCATAAGCAATTTTTTTTCGTTTTCTTTTTCTTTTACGGAAATTTAAAAAATAGTGTCAAGTTTTCTTTAAAATTTTTTTTACGGAAAATTAATAATTAGGGTCTAGTTTTCTTTTCAATATTTTTTTATTTTATTTTTTTTGGGAAAATTCAAAAATAGGGTCAAGCTTTCCTTTTAATTTTGTATTTTAATGCAGAAGATTGGGAAAACAGGCCTATATATACTTCTTCTTTATAACGGGAAAATTAAAAACAGGATCAGCTTTTCTTTACAATTTTGTATTTTAACGGCTATTTAGAACCACCATATTTAATTGATTTGTGGACCTTCAATTAAACATATGCCGAATTCCAACTACCATAAATTATGAGACACCTGGAAATGCATTTTCCGAGTTTCCACACTAGAGAATTCGAGTGTGGGCAGATCTCATTATAATTCCAGGGCATACACGAGTATATAGAGTAGAGTGCGCGTATAGCGATACTCAAGGAAGACTGTAAGTTTGCCCATATAAGTTTGTCTGGGGTCCCGAATTTTTGTCGTCGTAATAGCCGGACAGCAAGAGGAGCACTGCACAAAACCAATATACTCGTTTCGTTTTTGTGAATGAGTATACAAAAATCAACTGAATTCGCAATAAAATCTCATTTTGGTATTTTGTCTCTTTTAGGTTTATTTTGAAACACAGCTTTCAATGCTTATAAACTGCCTTGGCACACGTACGTATGTGTGAGGGAGATGTGTGTATACACATATACATATATACACACATATACATGTGTATGAATATTTATGTATTTAAGTTTGTTAATATTTGTGTAATTTGTTTTGATTTTCATTTATTTTCTTTGTTGTTTTTCTTTTCTTTTCTTCTCTTTTTTTTTTAGATTTTTTTTTCGTGGCTTTGCTTGGAATGACATTTTGCATCGATATTTGCTGTGGCATAAATATAGTATAAATACTCTTTAATAATTTACATTTGTTTCATTCTCACTAAGAACTATTCAAAAAAAAGGGTGTAATTAATTACTTAAAATAAATCACAGCGTATCTAAATATTTTTGTTTTGTTTCATTTGTTTCTTGTCGATTTGTTGTTGTTGTTGTTGTTGTTGTTGCTGATGTGTTGTTTCTATGCTTGCAATTGAACAACGATTAAATAAGTGATGTGTATAAATATGTGATAAAAAAAAAGAAAAAAAAAATACAATGCAATGCAATAAATGCAATAAATAAATAAATAAATAACTATTAACTACTTTATCACGTAACTGTGAAATGCAACTAAATGAAGACTTTGAAATCAACTGGAAATGGTCATACGAATGTCACTTGAATAATAAATAAGTACTTGTATATGTGTGTGTGTGTGTGTGCGTGTGTGATCCTAACTATCCGCTCAACGGAAGTAGCTGTGATTATACTTGGATATAATACTAAATACAACTAGCATAAATATTAAATAAATAAATACGTTTAAGCTCTATGTGGCCTGTGAGGCGGAGGAACAGTGCGAGGGGGGGTCACGTTCGGGGGGTGGGGTGGGGTTGGTGTTGGGCTGGTGTTCGAGGTGTACTCAATATATGGCATTTGTCAAATTCACGGCGTCAATGGTCGCGCAACTAGGAACTGTGCACAGCACTGGGAGGCGCTAATACTGGATGCAGGTCAGATGTAATTCGAGGAGGAGTTTGGTGCGGCGCTGGCTTAGCAGTCGCCAAAATTGGAGCAGCCGCTGTCGTTGCGCGCGCCAGTTGATTGGCCGGACTGGCCGGACTGGCCCGATTGGGCCGACTGGCCGGATCGGCTGCCCTCGGTGCTTTCCAGGCTGATCGCCTGGCGGGAATTGGAAACGGCCGAGCTGTGCGGCTGGCTCTCGGCGCTGTGGCGCCGCTGCTTGCGCTTGTTGAGCGCCCGATGCAGCGACTTGGCCATGTTGTCCAGAAACTGAAAGTACAGCTGCTTGGTGAACTTGAGGTCGCGCTTGTCGGCCTCCTTGCTGCCATCGGCGGGCGTGTAGAAGTCCAGATCGGCCTGCATCTTGGCCCGGCTAACCTGGTTGAGCTTGGCCACATTGCTGTTCGGATAGGATGCATTGATGGTCGTCTCGATCTCGCAGAGCACACGGCGCGCGCTCACCAGCAGCTTGTGCAGCTCCTCGGTCGACTTGCCAATGGGCAGCTGGTGCTCCTTCTGGTATTTGTAGTGCGCCTTGCCCAAGTACGCGAAGCTGCCCACGAAGGTTTGGATGCCGCGGTACCAGGTCTGCAGCATCACCTGTAATTGGTCGAAATCGACAGAGAGACAGAGAGACAGAGAGGGAGAGAGAGAGAGAGAGAGAGAGAGAGAGTGAGAGAGAGTGATGGTTAGTCAATTGCCTTACAACAACAACAACAGCAACAACAACTGCATTAGCCAGAGGAAAGGGCAAATGCAAATGCCGTTCAGCGAGTCCACGGAAACTGGTCTAAGCCGCCCAGGGCGGAGCAGGTCCCAGTCGCCGGGCAACGCATCAAACATTTTGCATGTGCGCTAATTCAGCTGCTGCCTCAGCTGCTGCATGCTCTTCCTCTTTAGCTTCTTCTTCTTCTTCTCCTGCTTACCTTATTTGTGGGACGCGTCATGTTTGGCAGGAAGGTGTACTCGCGCTGCCAGGCCTGAATGTCGCCGTAGTCCAGCTTGGCCGCCTTGCGTATGTCTTGCAGTTCGATTAGCGTGTTGTTGCGCAGCAGCTTCAGATACTGCAAGAGCGACAGAGAGAGGGAGAGAGAGAACTGTTTAGCTATTGTTTATTGTGAATACAATTGTGAATTGTGAACCAGTTTCACTCCGGCCTGGCTTTCACTCTGCACTTGAACTCACATTGCGCTTGGCCCGCACCGAGATGTTCAGCTTCTTGGGCTGCTGGCGATCCGGCTGATAGACGCCGCCGCACGGATTCTCCCACTCGGGCGCCGCCTCCGTCCGGGCAAAGTACTGCAGCGCATGGCTGCGCCGATGCCGGATGCGCTGCCGCTGCAGCTCCCGCTTGACGGCTTTCATTGCCGCCTGTGTAATCTGCTCGTAGCTGCTCTCGCTTTCAGCCTCAGCCTCAGCCTCAAAGATGCTGCTGCCGCTGCCGCTGCTGCTGCCGCTGCTGCTGGCGTCACTGCTGACGTCGCTGCTGTCGCTGCTGTCGCTGCTGTAGCTGCTGTAGCTGTGCTCGCTATTCTCGCTGTCGGCGTAGCTCTGCACCAGGCCATAAAAGGGATTCGCGTGCCAGGCGGGCAGCGATCTGCTGCTGTCGACGCTGGCGCCGCTGCCACTGGAGCTGTCCGCATCCTCGTAGGCAAAGCCCAGCGCCAGCTGATCGTGCAGATGGCGCGCGTGTGTCAATGGCAACAACGGCAGCAGCGCGGCCAGCGCAGCCAGGAGCACCGTATAGCTCGGAATTCTGTTGGTTCCGCTGCTGCTGCAGCTGCAACTGCAGCTCTGTTCTCTGCTGGCGCTGTTGCTCTGGCTGTGTCTCTTGCTCGCGCAGTGCTTTGCTGCAAACGAAAGGAACAACAAAATAAATTAGTTAAGAAAACAGTTATACATGTAAATATTAATATATTTATTAGGAGTTTTACCCTGGCACATGAGAGTTTGCTCGCAGCTAAACAAAAATTCAAATTCCAATTGTAAAAAAAAAAATTCAACTCGGCTCGCGTGCTCGTTCGATCTCTGCGTGCGCGCTCTGCGGCCTCTGCTCGACAACTGGCCAGCTGCGCACTCGCACTCGCATTCGCACAGCACTCACACAGCACTCACACAGCACTCATGCACTGCACTCGCACTCAATGCGCAGCCTCTCGCCATTGAGTGAGTGCTCAGCGGCTCAGCCTCCAGCTGAGAGCGACGCCTCTACTCGCTTTTGACCAAAGCAATTGAGTGCAATTGCCAGCTCTCTGCATATGCGTGTGTGTGTGTGTGTGTGTGTGTGTGTGTGTGTGTGTGTGTGTGTGTTTTATCGAATTTGTTAAACGGCGTTTGGCTGTGTCATCGGCCAATTGTGCTTCGCTTGAATTTCACAAGAAATTTGTAGATTACTCATCGAGCGCGTATTTTGGGTTTTTTTTTTGTTTTTTTTATTTGATGATTTTCGAATGGAGATATTGCTTAAAGGCAAAGCTGCTGTCACAGCAGCAGCAGCAGCAGCAGCAGCAGCAGCAGCAGCAGCAGCAGCAGCAGCAGCAGCAGCAGCAGCAGCAGCAGCAGCAGCAGCAGCAGCAGCAGCAGCAACAGCAGCAGCAGCAGCAGCAGCA